TGTCTATTCATTACACAACATGAAAATGGTCATTTCGTTATTTATTTTTACGTGATGAAACCAAAATTCCTAAATATAAAACCGATAAAACCGCGAAGAAAAAAACAAATTCATTATTTTGAGACAGCAGTCTTTAAAAACAAACTTAAACTTTCAATTGAAAGAAATATTCGAGATTATATTTCTGATAAAGAAGATTTTAGTTTTAAACACACTGTTGAGCAGCTGTTGGCACCTTGTAAAAAAACTCGAGGAAAACAAGGAAGAATCACACGACCTCAAAATGCATTCATCTTGTATCGAAAAGATATTCAAGACGAAATAAAAAAAGAAAACCCAAATGCAAGTTTTGAACAAATATCAAAGATTATTGGAGAGCGGTGGGCAAATGCATCTGATGAAACAAAAAAATCGATATATTTTATTAGCAAGACTTTGCAGCCGTGTTCATCGTGATATCTTTCCGAATTATAGATTTATAACAAAATCGAAAGGTGCGAAGAAAGATTATAGTATTATGCCTAAGGAATCTAAAGAACCTAAAGAAGAATTGCAAAGGCCATGGTCACCTTTATTATCTATTATAGTTCCCGAAGAATCTCGGTCGTCTCTGAACGAGCAAACGACATCGTTCGATAACATTTCTCAAAAAAACTATAAAGTAGTAAACGAATCACAAGAAATGCAGTTCATGACTGAACCGCAATATTTGGATCCTATGACAGAATTAATTAACATGGTTCAATCGAACAAACAATTCACAACCGATTACTACAATTATCCAAATGATTTTGACTATGAAACACAATCAACAGAAATGTTACCTTTCGATTTCAGTGGAAATGATTGTGTAGATACTACTTTGCTTTTTCATTTCAGTGAAAATACTAGCATTGACACAACTTTCCCTCTTCATTTAATTCAAAGTACGCCACAAGATTTTAATGATTATCCATTCGGAACTGTAAACTCTGATTCTTTCTTATATGATCCAACTTTTGATTCCTTTGAATCATCGAATGAACATTTGTATAATATTTTTGATTTAACAAATATTTAACAGATCTAAAATTATTTAAAAGAAATACCTTACATAAATTAGAGAAATTTTATTATGCTTATGACTGTAAAAAGTTGTATAAGTAGTAACAAAATAATAGAGACTAAGACACAAAAAAATTTTTTATGAATATGTATATAAAACTTTCTAGAAATTTCTTAAATTTATTATCATATTTTATGCTCGATATAATAAAATAAATACCTGGTTTAAAAATTATGTCTTTAAAATAAGTTACTCAGTTTTAAAAATCATTGTCCCTTGATGAGATAACGGGAGATTGCATCTGTTTATTGTAATGATAAATATTATGAAACAAATGAAGAAATAAATCTTTGAGATTTTCCAAAGAAATACGAAGCTCTTTATGATTTCTTTTTTTGTTAACAAGTTATTCGATTATGTAAAAGTACTACCAAATTAATGATAATTACATGATGTTTTGCTACTGAGTGCACTATATTAAGTCAACCGAATATTTTTTTAAAAACCAATAATCATGTGGACTAGTTTATTGATTTTGTAATAAAATAAATAACTTTTTTTTATTATTGAAATTAGGACCAATCACATTATTTCAAATTTATAGAAAATTATTTTTAGAATCACGTAACACATTTTCATAATATTATTGATTGCAGTATTTTCAACAGACACAAGGCAAGATGATCTGTTGGTATTACACTCTTTAAGTATTATTTATACGTAATTAGTAATGTCTATAAAATAATTCAATTTCTATAGTAATTCAAAGAAAATTCAAAGAAAATGGTTGAATTTTTAACAAACTATTACTGATGCATAATTCTTTCAATATTTGAAAAGTTGAAACAATTGTTAACATTGTTGGAAAAAAAATCATAATAACAAATACATGCGCGAATAAATACTAATAATATAAAAGTTAAGCATCGATCTACCCATCAATCTTGACTATCGTAATTGTTCCGTGATTCCAAATTAATATACATAACGCCTACACTGATGTGAACAATGTAATCAATTGCTTCACATAATAAATGAGACTGGCTAAATATAATGAAATTCATAGTATATAACATTATTAATTCGTATACTGTAGATTTCAAAAATGTAAAGGCATTAAAGTTGTTGGTCCCACAAACAAATTGTCAAATAGTCGAATTTGGTGAAAATCGCTAATACATATATGGGCACAATTAAGATATGATGAACCAATGCGGATTATAGGTGCGAACCAAATCCACGTTTGTACCAGTTAAGGAAATTTTTTACATCCAAAAACAAGGAATATGCTGTACGTTGTTCCGTTTTAGGAATTAATTTACCATTAATAATCGTACAAAATTTGACATCATCTGTGAAACTAAAATTTTTAAAAATTATGTAATTCTAATTCTTCACATTTTGCATTGATTATATTTATGGGTAAATATAAAAGCGGCACCAGAAAATTATACCTATAAATATGTATTTCAAACCCTTGTTTAAAAACGTTTCCTATATATATTCGATTTCTTTGTTGTTATAACAAGGTTTAATTTGTATTGTTTAATAATTTATATTTTCTGATATATCAAACTTTTAATCCGTATAATCTATTTTTAGTAGATTAATCCACACATTATTTTACTGCAATATGTTAATATCGTAAATCTATTTTTAGTAGATTAATCCACACATTATTTTACTGCAATATGAAACGTATAAGTTTTATATACAGTATTCTCTAGGTTTTCATTTCAACTAGGAATATCGAAACAACAAAGAATTGAAGATTTAAGGATTTAAATTCAACACAATTACTCAAGTTAGAAACATGATAATCATTCAGCCTAAATCAGATGATTGCATTCGGATATCCTTTTTATACTCTTGTAACCATATGCTTCGTTTCATCTTGTTCTTACTATATATTTCATTTCCCGTATATTTGTAGATTACGAATATAAGTAACTTTCATATTGACTCGAAAGATTCGGTTAATTATATTTGGAGATATACGATAATATAAAAGCTAGTTCTTTCTAGAACCTTTAGTTTTATGTTAGTAGCATCATATGCAAAATGTTCTGACCAATCATTTTTAATCGGCTATGCTAATAATTACAGACTTGATCAATTTTCCCGATTTCAATTAATTTTTAATTCGAAATCTTTCGGAATTTACCAAATAATTCCCCGATCACTACGGTTAATAATACCCTGACCGTATGTGAATAAACGAAAACTTTGTTTCCGCTAATTCCCAACGGATCAGGATATTATTATTACAAATTTAATTTCGAACCCGTTAATTTTCACTAACCAGCTTGCTCTAAATACTAATTTTCTGTTTGATTTAGTGTTGTTAAGTGAAACCTGTAGGTTTTATCATTAACGAAGTTTCGTATTTTGTCAAAAAATTTTTAAAAAGGAAATGGCGAAACTGACGAATGGTGATAAGGAGAAAACTGATGAAAGGTGACAAAACTAAAAAACTAATAAAATTAAAAAACTAAAAAAATATAAAATCAGTAAAAGTAAGATTAATTATTCGGAACAAAGTGGAGTATACTATGTTTTTACGAAAGCAAATGATCAGTAAGAAATCTTGTTGTGATTCTGATTGGCTGATTGTCTAAATACATGATCACTCAGCTCCGAATTGGTAAATTTGGTGATGTTAACTTCACTAACACTTCTACTCCGGACAAATGATGCTACTCATTTTCGAGTAATAATTTTTTTAAATTAGGATTTAAAAAAATTTATATTTACATAAACAAAATTAATCTTTGCATGCTAATCTAAAGTTTGTTGAACTGCCCAAAACCAATCCAGTTAAATCTGATAAAAAATTAATCTGCACGATGCATATTGGTTTTGAAAATTTTAACTGTATATAGAATTTAAAATATAATAAATTTATAAAACTTATTTGATATAACTTTTTCTTTCTTGTAAAAAGCTTTTTGAGAGATAATATTTAAAATCTAATTTTGATACTATAATTAATAGTTATAATAGGATAGGAACCGTGCACTTTGTGCCCGCTAATATCTCAGTATTTGACTATGCTACCCATCATGTCACTAATAAAAATGTTCCTCACGCAATTTTACTCCAACCCCAATCCTAACCATGGCCCTAACACGGGTCGTAGTTTTAATTTTTGCCCTAAAATTTGTTTTTAATTTGCTTTGAAAGTACTAAGTGCATGGGGCACGTTTATATTAGAGTTTGGAACCGGTTTTATTTTTCATATGTAAAAACCGATTAAAACCGGTTTTAAAATATGAAAAATAAATCCAGTTCCAAACTCTAGATTTTCCAATTAGAAATTATTATTTTTAAATAAATTTAAAAAAAATATTAAATAAAAAATTATAGATATATTTAATCAATTATGCAATATTAAAATGACACTAATAAAATAAATTGGGTTTCATATTCAGCCGGATCAAAAAAATTGCAAAATCCAAAATTTTTTATACTGCAGTATATAGGTAATCAAATTGTGCAATTATCATAGAGATAAATTCATCTAACTAGCTAATGTAATGGGTTGCTTATTTATATATTAAAAAGCACTTTATTATAACTTACTATTTTATATCACAAAATAATCTCAAAGATCTTAAACTTAACATACAGTAAAACTAGGGATCTACGTGCTATCGTGTCTAACAACAAAATTTTAGAGAACAGACGCGGGCATGGGCACAAGCATTTTTTGTTCGACCTAAAGTTTCTACAGATACATTGTACGGTTTAAAAGTGCTGTCACTTTTGTAACTTGGGTGCACTTTTGTATTTGGCTTAAAAATGCTAGGCATTTAGGCCGTTTGAAGTTGATTCTTCGGTTAACATCACTTTTCCAGGACTCTCGGGAG